TACTCCATCGAATTTTTAACGGGTTGATAATTCAGAAATTTTCTAGAAAAATTCTAGTACGAGTACTGGAAAAAATTACAATCTACGGGCTGTGAAAAATTCTAGTGCTGTTAAGGTAAAATTTTTTGGTATTTCCGGTAAAATTTCTGGGGATTTCTATGAAATTTTCACAGAAATACGGGGAAAAATTCACGTTTTCCCCAATATAATTTCTAGTGCTGGCACTGGAATTTTGTCCTGGCCGTCCCTTTGCGCCTCTGTTCCCGTGCTAGCACTAGAATTTTTCTAAAAAATTTCTCTCCGTGTAGCTGCATGAATTTTCAGAATCTGAAAACTGAAATTTCAGTAGTTATTCCAGAATTTAGGTGATTTTTCATTTAAAAATATATGGTAATTTCATAGAAATGAGTTATGATTAAAATATTTAAATTTTTTAGTTGGTATTTTAGGGGTAAATTTGTAACAGTGGCAATAGAAAATTTCTGGTTGGAAATTGGCTGAATATCACATTCAACTGAATTTTCAATGCACTGCAAATTCAGGAAAATGGTTATCTGAATTTTCACAATTTTTAAGAATTTTCATTGTCATATGGACCTGAAAATTGCAATTTCATTAGATACTTCACAAATCGAGTGATTTTTTAATAAAAAAAGGATATGGAAATTTCATAAAAATCAGTTATGATTAACAATTTCTAAATTTGTTAATTAAAATTTTAGGGGTAAATTCCTAACAGTGGCGAAAACAAATTTTTGGCTTTATGAATTTTGCAGGTAATTCGGGGGAAACTTGTTGGCAATCAATTCTTAAATCATGGAATCAAATGAAATTTGATTACACTGTCGGGGAATTTTTCTACAGCTTCAGAATCGAGCAGAAAATTCGCTGAACATCACATTCAACGGATTTTTTAATACACTGGATATCCAGGAAAATAGTTGCCTGAATTTTCAATAATTTTCCTTGTCATATGGACCGGTAAATTGTAATTCAATTAAATATTCCCGAATTAAACTGATTTTCAATTTAAAAAAATGGAAATTTCCCAAAAATGCAATAAGAAATTCTGATTACAAATTTCTAAATTTATTAGTTCAAATTTCGGGGGTAAACTCCTAACAGTGGCAATAAAAAATTTCGGGATTAGTAACTTAGTGGTTGATTCCGCTAAAAATTGCTGACAACCCATTCTTCAATTACGGAAAAAAAATGTTATTGCGCTAGCTGTGAATTTTTCTAGATTACCAAAAGCGTGTAAAAAAATCCTCATTTTTCCGCACTAATACCACAGCAATTCTTCTCGAATTCTTCCCGAATGAAAACCAAGGAGCCTAATTGCACCATTGATAAAAACCCATGATGAAGAAGATGGGTTTTCCCTTTAATCTGAAAACGAAATGCACTGCGTTTGCCAAAATACAACTTTACGCAGGGTAACTCGCCTCGGTGATTACGCTTCCTTGCCAGCTGGATACAGTGCCAGAGATCCAGACAGTTTCTTGTTGCGATTCAACGGTACAGTCTACTGTACAACGATTTCGTGCGACGTAAGTAGCGAATTACTGCTACGGTATGCATCATGACAGGGTATAAATCCTGGGAAATTCTAACATTATAAATATAAAGTTTTTAGCCGTTGGGAGAATTAATTGTCAAAACTATCACCATTCATTTCACATTTGTCCCCCTTTTTTTGAATATAAACCATTCGAATTTGCAGTTAAATTGAGGATTACGTATTCAGATATTGAAATTAATACCGACTTCTATAACTAGGGAGTTCTTATACCCTGGCAGACAGCTGAAATTATTGGTATGGTGTCACGTCAACCACACGTGCGCATGACATACCAGATTATATCGGAGATTTTTTCCATCGCATCGTGTTCCTTATTATATGTTACTTTTCCCTTATATAAGGGGGGCTGTAGTACATACACTTTATGTTTTATCCGTATATAAAGTCGATATTTGTTCAATTTGAAATAATCGATTGATCATTACATATTGGGAACAGATTATTTTTGTCATGCGGATATTTCCTGCAGAGAAGATCATTTCTTTGCACGTACTTTTGGAAAACAAGAATCATTAACAATTTCCATTGGTTTTTCCATAAAATTTTGAATTTTCCATTTCCAAACATAACATATCAAAAATCTACAATGAAATAACAATAAAATACTTATTTCAATGAGAATATTTGAATTACACTGATGAAAAAATATAATTCTGCCAATCAATTTGTTTCAGACAAACGAATGATCGAAATTTCTGTACAAAGTATTCTTATAGATTCTTGCCCGAAACATATTTGCGTGACAGTATCATATATTTTTCTCAGTGTTTAAAATAAACTAGCGAACGTCACTAGATTAGTTTACACTATTTTATTTCAATTTATTTTCTTTCCAGTTCCATCTTAAGAATTAGTAAAATATACTTTTATCCATTATTATTCTTATTATATGTATATTTTTCCTTAATTCACGAGCTACAATGTTGATTGAAGAGGAATTATGTTAAAGATCAATGAGAAGTGTTTTTTTGCGATTAAAATAAACACAACACAAAAGTCGTTCGAAATCTCATTAGGGTAATAAAAAAATATCTCCATGTATTACTGAAAATTTAATATCTATTTTTCTCTTCATATGGTAAATGGATATCCACACTCCTCATTCCTATAGTCGGATTCTAATTATTATTATGAATAGGAAATGAAAAAAGAATTTTAAAAAGATAATCGGTTAAATAAAAAAAATGAAATAGTTTTTTTTCTTCTTCACATCGGTGGGAACTTCGAATCACTTTTTTCTCTAAATATTAGAGAGACATTAACATTTCAGCGAGACGAAATTCCAAAAATGCAAAAAACAGTGCAAACAACTGAAAAAAAAAATTTTCCAATGTCTCTGGAACGTTTTAAAATCAATATGTTATTTAGAATAATAGAAGATTACCCATAAATTCGATTTTTATCCTTGTCTTTTGATAGCATGAATAAAATAAGTGACAGAAATTCAGAATTGAACACTAAAATCTTTATCGGATTATTATTGTATAATAATTCATTCATTCCAAGTGCAAAAAACTGGGGAAGACCTAAAAAGATAATTTTTCAATGTGTCCGGAACGTTTTAAAATCAATATCTTATTTACAACAATAGAAGATTACGCGTAGATTCAATTTCTTTTTGTCTTCTGATAGAATGAATAAAATAAAAGACAGAAATTGAGAATTGAAGACTCAAATTTTTATCGGATTATTATTGTGTAATAATTCATTAATTCCAAGTGAAATTTATTGACTTCGAATGAACAATTTCTCCCAGTACAATTCTACCCCTCTCAGACAATTTTCACTCCCTCGATTACCGAAGAATTCACGAGTCTATTGACGCGCCCCTCATCAATGAAATAATGTGTACTGCATCGAAAGTCGAGGACGAACTCGATCAATACCGAGAACAACCTGAAAACGAATGATGCGACAACTTATTTCACGAGAGCCGTGAAGACTTCATCCCCTATCTCCAGAGTTGCAATCATCTGAAAGACAATTCAGTGTGACAATGCACCGAGATAGCGAGATATTTCCGAGTCTACAGGACCCGATGGTGGAAAATTGCGGCAACTCGTACTCATGAATACGTTTCACTCCCCGTCTATTTGTCACTGTCTCCCAAACAAATTATTAAATTTGGAGTGATGAAGCTCCCTCATCAGCATGAAATATAACTAGTCGTTAATGATGTCATCAATCCATTATTTTCAACGACTAAAACAATTACACGCTGTTGGGGTCCAGTGAAATAGAGCGGCTTGGCCCTGATAAAGCTTTAAGAGTACTGGAAAAGCTTGGCACGATGAAACGTATTTCTGTGAATTTCCCATGGGATAATCAAGTACCTGGGACAAAGGGACTCACTGAGTGAGAATACGTGGATAGGAATATACTGTTGAGAGAACGAAATGGAGTTATTCCACTGACGGGCTACAACTTTGCAGTGGTGTGAATGCTTTTCAAGGGAGAGGGACAAAAGGAAAACGAGATGATGATGATAAGACATCAGTTTTTCTTTTTACAATTCAACTTGAAATGTCCTGTACAGGCGGAATGTCACAATGGAAGGCTCTCGATGCGATGATTCAATCTCTTCAACGACGTTTTTTTTAGTTCACTTGTACATATGCGCGTCGACTGATAAAATTTTTTTTTATTTACTGATAAAAATTGAGAAAATGAATTTCACTGAGAAATAAAAGGTTTTGTGGTCAAGGGAGGATTCATCATTTTTTAAAACTGCCGAGGAATAATTTTCTGTGAGATGAATTAATTCTTTTTTAAGCGCCACTCATTCCCAGGGGGTCCATGTCCGTCGTTAAACATTATTATATTGAATTATGAGATGATTTTGCTACATATGATACTGATTCAACACTTCTTATTATTTTTCAATTTTTTTCAAATTTATTATTTTGCAATTTTCTGAAATAATTCTTAATGTTAATAATTATTAATGGAGTTCATTCAACATCATACGTAGCATTATCATTCTAAAAAAATAAATAGTTCTGTCAGGAAAATGATTCTTTGGCAAAAGTAATTTTATTAACGATATTTTTTTTACTTGTATATATGCGCGTCGAAAGATAAAAATTGAGACAATGAATTTCATTGAGGAAAAAAAGCTTTCGTGGTCAGGGGAGCGTTCATAATTTTTAGTAACTTGTGGTTATAAAATTGAATGAGTGATTTCTTCACACTTGAACTTGATTTTTATGTGCATTCTTATTCACTCCAGTAAATGATTTTTTTTTAATATAAAAAAATGTTTTCTTCATCCAGATGAAGACATGGTTATTAAACCATAAAGTTTACTATCTGATTATTAAAAAAAAAGCGTAAAAAACGGGAAACAATTTTCTAATTAACGAAAATGTTTTTTATTTGTGAAAAAAATATTTAGCTCTTCTCTCTTCTTCATTTGCAGTTGGGTCCATGTACGTGTGTATGCTCTACGCCATCTTATTCCTGAAACTATGGTCATACGTTCAGGTCAACATGTGGTGCCGCACGAGTACGAAAAAATCAGCGACCCAGAGCAGAATGCGGAGACAATCGCTGTCATATAATAATCTGCAGGGTGAGTGAATCAATCCTTCTCGCTAGAGACCCATAATACTCCAATTAATTTGGAGTGATTATATACATGCAATTATAATGTGCTGCGAAATTTAATTTACCTCTATAACAATCAGTCATATGAGTGATCACAGTGATGAGGTTATCCGAGCGGTACGAAAACGGGGTTATTAAATTTTCAATTATGTGATTAATCTAATGGCAAGTTATTTCAAAAGCTACACTCAGAGGAAAAATGGCTGAATATCACAGAACTAATTTCTTGAGCTAAATGCGTCATCTCTTGTAGAGAAATTGCCCGCAGTGTCAGAAAGGAAGTGGAATTGTGTTAGCAGTTGAGTAGTAATTTTCAGGAGAGCGACAGTGAGCTGGGATTGGGGGAAAGATCATGACATTCTGAAATTCAGTGGAAATTCTGTGAAATTGCAATGGAATTTCGATTTTTTCAGCACCGGGAAGCCGAGAATTCTCTAATTCACTCGAATTTTTAATGAAAACATGAATATTCACTTATAATACCAAAAGAGCTTTAAAATTCCAGATAGGTTGATTGCAAGAATGAAGTTTTTCTGTTTAAAAAAATCTTGAGCCCGAAATGCGAGTGATTTTTTCCTGAAAAACTTGATGACTTCGTTACCTGATTAATTTTAAAACTTCGATGGTATTCCGGACATTATCGTTTCCATCCAAATATCGGCCAACAGAATTGAATCATGAGATAGAATCGATCGGTCAATTTCAATGAGGAGTTTATTTCACTGAAAGCAACTACCGGAGAATTTTTTTTTTAACTGTGTTGATAACCACGCTGATTGTACCACGTGAAATTCAAATTGGAAAAATAATCACCTGAATTTTCGGGATTTCTATTAATTCTCATGGAATAATTGAACTGGAATTGACGAATTTCATTCATTTTCCTCCGAAATTTTGAGTTTTCAATTACTTCTCAATGAACTCTTTGAAATGTCGATAGAACTTTTCACTGTTAAAAATTTTCGTCTAAATTTTCCGCGTTAAATCCTGGAAATTTTTATCGTGTTTAATTTCCACTGAAATTTCAGGAAATCTTGTCATTAAAAAGCCAAATATTCCATTGATTTTCTGTTTGAATGATGTGAAAAACAATAAAATACTTGATTTTTCAGTTCAATTATTCCGTGAAAATGCGGAAAAATCAGGAGAATTCAAGGAAAAATAGATAATTCATGTCATTTTGCTTCTGAATATTCATTTTCCATTGATTATTTTTGGTAATCGGATCTGGCCTTCCCTGGGCCAATCAGAGTTCAGTATTCAATAACATGAAGTACTTCCCAATTAAAATTGCAGCGGTTATTTCCCCCTAGCTTTGATAATTTCCTTGTAGCTTTTGATAATTTTCCTCTAGCTCTGCAATTGTTTCTCTAACCAAATAACTGTCAAATATTATCCTGTGGAGTGAAAGAATGTCATGAAGAAAATCAAAATGAGTCGGTTTGGGAAGGAGCCGATTACCAAAAATAATCCGTCGAATACCACTCGACCTCCAAAATTAATCGGATATTTCCGTGATGTTTTCCTGCGTATCACCGGTCGGGATAAGTTTTGCACAAAAATCCCTCGCGCTGCGCGCTCGGCATTTTAATCTGCAAAACTTCTCCTTCTCGTTGCTACGCAACAAAACAATCAGGGAATATCCGATAATTTTGGAGGTCTCGTGAAATTACTACTGAAAATTCACTCAAGTTATGAAATTTACGTCTCACATGAAATTTCATAACCATTTTTTCCCTAAATCGGATTCAATGTCACTCGCATGGGAACTACCACCCCGTTTTCCACGAAGTTTCCAAAAATTTCCAACAGTGTAATCTGATAAAAATTTCGATGAAGTGTACCGGAAATTTCATTCAAAAATTTGCCACCCTATAGTGCAGAGTAAGAGAAATAACACAAGCCATTAGATGTCCGCAAAAACCTGGAATTAGTCGGGTACATGTGGATTTCAATGGGCGTGTCTCTGGCATTTCAGCAATTTAAGGGCCTCCAGCAATTGTTCAGCGTAAAATTGCCAGCTCTGGTTCGACGAAAGAAACCAACGACGTTGCCACACTCTACTACCCAGGTAGTAGAGTTAATTTTCGAGATTCCTCTTACGTTTCCCGGCTCTTTTAACGGCCATACATTGTGGCTACGTGCTTTTCTCCACTTTCACCACACCCCCATTTCTCAGTAGGCGACCTTCGAGATATATGAACCAGGGTGGGAAGGAGGATAGTTGGTGGCGGTGGGTCTGGGGGCACCCGAGGAATCCTGAAGGTACAACGCTGGAATTACGGGCCATCCTAGCGTTTTCCCCCTCCCCCTGGAGGCGTGATTGAAAATGGAGGAATGAAAAAATGTAATTTATATCCGTAAAGTAAAGAGGCTCGCTAATAAAAGTTTCCGGGAGAAAAATGTACAGTAGAAATTATCCAGAAGATGTGGGTACAATTACCGAACGTAATGTAGTCGGCCGGCAGAATGAAAAGTGATGGAAATTTTCGTCTGAATTTTCTGGTTTAAATGTCGAGAATTTGCATCAAGAGACATTCCTATTGGAATTTCGGGTGATCGATTCATTGAAAAATCAAGAATTTCATTGATTTTCTGGTGTTGGATCAGAAGTTTTTCCCTTATGTAACGGGGGCTGTAGTACATACATATCATTTTTTATCCGTAAAGTCGATATTTGTTCAATATGAAATGATCGATTGATCATTACATATTGGGAACCGATTATTTTTGCTGTGCGGATATTTCTTGCAGAGAAGATCATTCCTTTGCACATACTTTTGGAAAACAAGAATAATCAACAATTTTCATTGCTTTTTCGATAAAATTTTGAATTCTGTATTTCCAAACATAACAAATCAAAAATTTCTGCAATAAAATAAAAATGAAATACTTATTTCAATGAGAATATTTGAATTACACTGATAAAAAAATATAATTCTACCGATCAAAGTGGTTTCAGACGAACGAATGCCCGAAATTTCTGTACAAAATCTCCTTCAATAAACTAGCGAACGTTACTAGATTAGTTTATACTATTTCATTTCAATTTATTTTTCCTCCAGTTCCGTCTCGATGTGGGAACAATTACCGAACGTAATGTAGTCGGGCGGCAGTATGAAACGTGAAAATTTGCGTCTGAATTTTCTGGGTTAAATGTCGAGAATTTTTACCAAGAGACATTGCCATTGGAATTTCAGGTGATCGCTTCATTGAAAAATCAAGAATTTCATTGATTTTCTGGTGTTGGATCAGAAGCTTTTCCCTTATGTAACGGGGGCTGTAGTACATACACATCATTTTTTATCCGTAAAGTCGATATTTGTTCAATGTGAAATGATCGATTGATCATTACATATTGGGAACCGATTATTTTTGCTGTGCGGATATTTCTTGCAGAGAAGATCATTCCTTTGCACATACTTTTGGAAAACAAGAATAATCAACAATTTTCATTGCTTTTTCGATAAAATTTTGAATTCTGTATTTCCAAACATAACAAATCAAAAATTTCTGCAATAAAATAAAAATGAAATACTTATTTCAATGACAATATTTGAATTACACTGATAAAAAAATATAATTCTACCGATCAAAGTGGTTTCAGACGAACGAATGCCCGAAATTTCTGTACAAAATCTCCTTCAATAAACTAGCGAACGTTACTAGATTAGTTTATACTATTTCATTTCAATTTATTTTCTCTCCAATTCCGTCGCGATGTGGGTACAATTACCGAACGTAATGTAGTCGGGCGGCAGTATGAAACGTGAAAATTTGCGTCTGAATTTTCTGGGTTAAATGTCGAGAATTTTTACCAAGAGACATTGCCATTGGAATTTCAGGTGATCGCTTCATTGAAAAATCAAGAATTTCAGTGATTTTCTGGTGTTGGATCAGTAGCTGAATGAAATGCGTAATTTGATGCGAATAAAAACGCAAATAACAGTCAACTTTAAGTTTGAATGGAAGCTTTATGATAAGCCCCTTGAATAAACTTATTTACTGGGTTTGAATAAACTTTATTTAATTCTAAAAAAATTCGTCAGGATAATTTTTGCAATATATTTTTTTCTCCGTATGTGGAAGAATAATGTGAAGAAGGCATTGTGTATCCTTGACGCACTCTGAGACGATGCACTTTCAAGCGGACAACAGTGACTGAAAGTCATTTCTTCATCAATGTTTTTTTTTCTCTCTTCAATTTAATTTTCGTGGAAACCGAGAGAGGAAATTGGCCTACGAATGAAAGCTTCATTATGAGCCTCTTCAATAAATTTATTAACTTGATTTGAATACACTTTATTTAACTCAAAAACCTCAGGGTTTACAGTTTCATTCGTTCTGAGATTAAAAACTGTTCCTTCACGTTAGAATAATGTTTGCAATATTCTACCCTCGTATGTGAAGGAAAAACGTGGAGGAGGATTGTCTGTTCTTCGTGCACTCTGAAACGCCGGAGTTTTAAGCGAATAACAAGTAGTGAAAATCATTTGCCTAATGGTTTTTTTTCTTTCTTCAATTTACGTTTCATGGAAATTGAGAGAGTGAAATTGGCTTTTGGAAAAATTGCCTGTATCGTTTGACGGAGATAAACAACACACAACTATTAAACATTACAACGATCGACATTCACGTTGTTTATATTTAAAAAAACATTTTCATTTTATATGACTAACAATTCAAATAACAGTCAAGTTTATGTTTGAATGAAAACTTTATTATGAGCCCCTTGAATAAACTCATTTACTTAATTTGAATGACTTTTTTTTAATTAAAAAAACCTCTGGGTTTACATTTTTATTCGATCTCAGAAATTAAAAATTGAAGAAGGTATTTTCACACGGAGAAAATTATTTACTGAATTTCAACAAACTGGTGGATAAAATTTATCAACAAGTTGTTGAATTTCACCAAATAATTTTCTCCGTACAAGCGAAGAACAAGGACTGAAAATCATTTCTCTAATGATTTTTTTCTCTCTTCAATTTAAGTTTCATGGAAACCGCGAGAGTGAAATTGGCCTTTGGAAAAATTGCCGGTATCGTCTGACGGACTTTCAACAACACGCAACTATCAAACATCATAAAAACCGACATTTACGTTATTTATATTAAAACAACTTTTTATTTTTAGTAAATTAAAACGCAAATATTCAAATTGATTTGAATAAATTTTGTTTAATTCAAAAAACCTTTGGGTTTACATTTTCATTCGTTCTCAGATTGAAAACTGTTCCTCCACGTCAGAAAAAGGTTACGAATTTCGATGTAGCGAACAGTATCGATGTTCTTCATGAAAAAGCTATTTTCTATTTCTGACGCACTCTGAAACGTTGAAGTTTCAAGCGGATAACAACGACTGAAAATCATTTCTTCAATGCTTTTTTTTCTCTCTTCAATTTAAGTTTCATGGAAACCGAGAGAGTGAAATTGGCCTTTGGAAAAATTGCCAGTATCGTCTGACGGACTTTCAACAACACGCAACTATCAAACATCATAAAAACCGACATTTACGTTATTTATATTAAAACAACTTTTTATTTTTAGTAAATTAAAACGCAAATATTCAAATTGATTTGAATGAATTTTGTTTAATTCAAAAAACCTTTGGGTTTACATTTTCATTCGTTCTCAGATTGAAAACTGTTCCTCCACGTCAGAAAAAGGTTACGAATTTCGATGTAGCGAACAGTATCGATGTTCTTCATGAAAAAGCTATTTTCTATTTCTGACGCACTCTGAAACGTTGAAGTTTCAAGCGGATAACAACGACTGAAAATCATTTCTTCAATGCTTTTTTTTCTCTCTTCAATTTAAGTTTCATGGAAACCGAGAGAGTGAAATTGGCCTTTGGAAAAATTGCCGGTATCGTCTGACGGACTTTTAACAACACGCAACTATCAAACATCATAAAAACCGACATTTACGTTATTTATATTAAAACAACTTTTTATTTTTAGTAAATTAAAACGCAAATATTCAAATTGATTTGAATGAATTTTGTTTAATTCAAAAAACCTCCGGGTTTGCTTTTTCATTCGTTCGCAGATTGAAAACTGTTCCTCCACGTCAGAAAAAGGTTACGAATTTCGATGTAGCGAACAGTATCGATGTTCTTCATGAAAAAGCTATTTTCTATTTCTGACGCACTCTGAAACGTTGAAGTTTCAAGCGGATAACAACGATTGAAAATCATTTCTTCAATGCTTTTTTTTCTCTCTTCAATTTAAGTTTCATGGAAACCGCGAGAGAAATTGGCCTTTGGAAAAATTGCCGGTATCGTCTGACGGACTTTTAACAACACGCAACTACCCAACATCATAACGATCGACATTTACGTGGAATTGAGCCCCTGGCGGGGGATATTTTCTGGAAGCCGTAGAATTGAAATGAGTCAACGACACGCAATCACCATGTCTAACCGGGCGGCATTTGCTCGATTGCTCGTCTGATTCGAGTTATTTCTTTTTGCTTAATTCTTCGGGGGAGGGGACAATTGGAGAATTTTTATGTTTAATATCCGGGGGTTATTACAGAGTCGTGTGGGGTAAGAGCCAGAGGAATTCCCCTCTGGCGGCGGGATTTTTTGTCTTGGCGGCAGGAATTCAGGGGAACAGAATAATTCCCGCGTGTCAAGTAGAAACTGCCTGCTCATGGCAGACTGTGCGACGGTCGAAATGAAATGTCGTGTTGCTTAACAAACGTTCACTAATGACTGCATGAAATTCAATGTTTTTTGTCAAATATAGGTAGTGTTGAGTCCTCTCAATTGCCATCAATGAAATTTTAATTCATTCATTAGTTTTTTTAATTTTCGAATTTTTTCGAAAATCGGTTGTTGCACGATAACTAAAAAAATGTTCTAAATTCATTGAATGATGGCTTAAAAGATTTGTTTGGATGTCCTTTTGACCGAGTTCGAAGATGAAGGCGATAGCAATAATCGTTATTTGGATTTATTTGAAAATTTGCAAAACGTTATATTTTTTGAAAAATCAATAGAATTTCAAAGTTTTAAGCAACGTGAAGACAACAATTCCTCAACCTATTTGATTTGTCCATCAAAACATGAATATTCAATACGCAGAAAATACGCAGAATTACCCAGAATTTCCAATTAATTAAAAAATAGGGAATACATCAACTAAGTTTTTCCGATTTTAGGACAGAAATTCACAGTTCCCATTAATTTTTCCCCGAAGTTATGAAGTTCCAATGTCCGTGAAATCGTGACTTCATAAAAATTTCCCAGCAATGTACCGGGAATGTCAGTAAAAACAATTTTGCCTCCTAACTTGTCCCCATTTCCGCCTCCGCGCACAGCGACCCCCGTGAAATATCATATTGATTCAATAATTGAGTATTGAACCTGCTGATGAAGCAGACGTCATTCCCCCGGAAAACGGATAAGGGCGATCCGATAAGACGAAGGACTAAAAAATGCGAAAGAATCCCCAGCAGATAGTCATGCTCACAGACAACCCAGCAAAGAAAAACGTTCTGGAATTTCATTTGAGCCGGATGCCTCGCGCTCGTTACGTCGTTGGCACGTAAAAGGAGGAAGACCCGGGGAATGAGGAATCTGGAGGCGTCAAAGTGGCAGGGGGGAGGGGGAGGAGGCGAGGAAAGCATGGCAAGACATCGACAAGGCATCCGTGGCGCGTAGTTGTTGGTAATCCTTCAGTATCTGATGGTTTGGTCGGTGCGATATTCAAGGAAAGTGAAGGTCCCCAGCAGACGCCGTGAGATTGTGGGAGAGGGAAAGAAGATGAACGGATAAATTTTCCAATTTGACCTGTTAGGAGTCCGCCACCCGCTTGCCGCCTATAGTGAAGGCACCCCCAACCCCCTAGTCCTCCCCCGCCCCCACCACCCCGCCCCTCCCGCGCTTCATCGTACCTCCTTCCAATCCACCAATCTTCCTGCCTGATTTGAATTCCAAATTGGATTATCCATCGGATTTGGATAATTGAAGAAATTCTACCAGTAAGACTGGATTTTTGGTCGCAGCCGATTGACATACGACGACTCATATCATTATGCGCCTGAATCTCTCTATATTGTAAAAATCCAAATCGACCTCTGGTGATAGAAATTTGGTACTTGGAATTGAGACTCCGAAATTGAGGCTCGCAAGGGTTATGAGGGTTTCGAAGGTCAAAATAAGGGTAATGAGGGTCGGAGTAAGGGTCACAAGGGTTAGATTAAGGGCCAAATAAGGGTCACAAGGGTGAATTAAGGGCCTAAATAAGTGTCACAAGGATCAGATTAAAGGTCGCAAGGGTCAAAGCAAGGGTTTCAATATCTCTTTATATTGTAAAAATCCAAATCAACTTGTAGCGATAAAAATTTGATACTTGAAATTAAGACTGAAATTAAGGGTCACAAGGGCGAAAATAAGGGCCATGAAGGTCAGAATAAGGGCTTCAAGTGTCAGAATGAGGGCCACAAGGGTCAGATTAAGCATCCAAATAAGAGTAACAAGGGTCGCAAGGGTCAAAAGAAGGGTCTCAAGATCTCTTTATATTGTAAAAATTCAAATCGCCTTCTGGTGATAAAAATTTGGTTCGCGAAATTAAGACTCCCAAATTAAGGGTCACAAGGGCCATGAGGGGCAGAATAAGGGTTATGACGTTTGAAATAAGGGTCACGAGGGTGAAGATAAGGGCCATAAGGGTCAGAATAAGGGCCACAAGGGTCAGATCAAGGGCCAAAATAAGAGTAACAAGGATCAGATTAAGGGTCACATGGTCAAAAGAAGGGTCTCAATATCTCTCTACATTGTAAAAATCCAAATCGATTTTTACTAAAGAAAATTTCGTGTCTGGTCTATCAAACGTCTCGTTTTTAAACAGAAAAGACGTTTCATTTTAATTCATTGGAAATAAGTCATTAAGAAGTTAGCAGATACGACACATTTTTCTCGCCATTATTTTAATCAGTGTATTTTACCACCAACAGCTTCGGCAGTTCATCAATGTAGCACCGAATCGGAGGAAGTATGGCATGACGCTAACGGGTCAAGTCTTTTGGTTCAGTATCCGGATAATCTTCACATTGGCGATCTCATCTACTACATACTAGCACCAACACTCTGCTACGAGCTGAACTTTCCACGTACACAGAGAATACGAAAAAGGTAACAACTGTTTTCAACATTTTAAGAAACTTTAAATGTATTCGTTGGAAAAAGTTTTGCACCGATCGATCACGGGGATCGGTAAAAGGTCAGTTCGATTGAATTTATCTGTGTTCATTGAGGGAGGCATACACGTTTATTCTATCTAAAACTAGTGGGAAAGGAGTTGAGGAGAAAAAGAAATAGAGAAAACTGTTCCGTAAAGTTTTAGCTTCGTAAATGAGCACCAGTCTTTGCTCCATCCCATTTCTTGCTCATCTACAAGTCTCTCTCGCTCGTTCCTTTCTTGTCTGCATTACACAGAAGTCTTTTCACTTTCTTCATTTTCATTTCTTTTCTCCCTCGTTCTTCTGTTTTTTTTTACCCTCTTTGCTACCTTATATTTTTTTTTCCTTTTTCCTCTGAATGAAAGTCAGACGAGTAGACACGACGCATTGTAAGGGACCCAATGTGAAAAGGCACTCGTTGAATTAGATTCGAGTGGATGCCATTGTTGCAAGACCAAGTGGGAGGCAACAAACTCTCGACAGTTATACCCACGAGTGATGTATTTCACTTTGCACATCCGACCTGTTTTAACCGGTCTGTGTGTGCCTCCAACTGGACCAGAAAATACGAAGATTCACGATTCAACTCCGAGTGTATCCTTTCCACTTGTCTGAGTCCCCAATTTTTTCTCGTCCACGAGTGATTGAACCAACTAACGATTTGTATCTGCTCCTCTGATTTCAGGTTCTTGATAAAACGAATCTTTGAAGTATTCGTTGGCTGCCAGGTGGTGATGTCTCTCTGTCAGCAGTGGATGATCCCGTCGGTTAAGAATTCACTCATACCGTTCACGGTGAGTTTCACCTTCCGTTGGGGAGTATTCAATTTTCTTCTTTTTCTCAAGACTTTGGTGTGATGGAACGATGTAATTCTCTGAAAAATTTCACGCCATGCGCCGCTTTGAATCGGAAAAAATATAAAACGAAGTTTTTAGGCGCTTGCGATGTACAATTGGTCGAACTGTAAATAAGATTTTTTACAGTCTGCGAGACGAATAGACTCGGATTTTTCTCCGTTGGTCCAGGAAAATTTACTGAACGTGAGAATAACTTGTGCCGAAACTTTAAAAATACTGCGTATAATTTTTCTGTTACGCAGAATAATTTTTTACCGAACGAATCGTAAAATATCTTCCACTAACAGGTATTTTTTCATTGAATTATACTTCGCTCCGCGATTACCTTTCGTACAGTAAAATTTGCAACGATTTTCTAAGTAATTTTTATTCAACTTTTCTCTCTCGATATTATAAAAATCCAAATCGACTTCTGGTGATAGAAAATTGACACTCGAAATTAAGACTCCACAATTAAAGGTCGCAAGGGTTAAAATAAGGGTCACGAGGGTCAGATTAGAAGTCACAAAGGTCGTGAGGGTCAGAATAAGGCTCGCAAGGGTCATATGGATCAGATTAAGGGTCACGAGGGATATAATGAGTGTCACGAGGGTCAGATTAAGGGTCACAAAGGTTAGAATAAGAATGATGGGGGTCATACGGGGGGTGGCGAGCGGAGCGAGGAGAGGGCGTAGCCCCCTAGTAATTAACGAAAAAACAATCACACATTTCACAATTCTCCATGAGATGTAACAAATATTATTGTGCACTCAATTTCTCAATATTCGATTCAATCATTTCGTAATTTTTCTTTTCCATTTGACGCTCAATCAACTCTTGCTTTCTTTCTTCATTCATTCCATAAATTCTAGAAATAATTAGGTGCTCCGCACTCAAAAAACAACGCATTGCGTAGTCAATAAAGCCCCTGAAATAATTTTTCTCATTCTGAGTGAAGATTTAAGATGCAAAATTGACATTTCCCCTAATGTCAGCGTTACAGGCCCCAACGAATGAACAATTAACATCGAGACAAATGAAACTCATTCCAACTGTTGATTATTTCGTTCTGATAAATTATAATTATGAAATGTTAACGTGGCAAAGTTGATGAAACGAAGCCATCAACTTTGAACACACGAGTGAAATTCAAAAAGCAGGAGAGTCCGGTACTATTACCAGAAAGCCCTCTGCATCCACAACTAACCTGCGCATAAATTCCATGGACAAGTACATCTACAAGACCCTCACGTATTAGGTACCTGATAGACCGCCTAGTACACGTATTCCAAACTGTGTTCACCACCCTTTCGCACGTCTGCTTCAACTCTGTATATATATTCAAAATAGGTTATACGAAGTCGACTATGGGGGGGGCTTAGCCTGACAACTTCCCAACCACAATTCATCCGAAAACCCTAAGCTAAAGTTTTGCGGGTTGTAACAGGCTTTACTTGTGGGTGAACGCGAGAACGTGCTAATCGAGCGATCGGTACAGGTACTTTTAACCTCGTGCCTCGGGAGATTTATGGCGTCACCCTGATGTCATCAAATCTCGTTTCTTTGATTTTTTTTTGGGATTTAGGAGTTTGTGGAGATGATTGAAATGATTATTTTGAGTAGTTCTTATGTGAAGACTGAGGTACGTGACTTTGTGCTCGGTTATTTGAGGTAAATGCGTTATGCATTAATCGGAAAACAAATATACCTGCATTGAGTGTAAAATATATTCAACTCAACTATTTTATTCTTGACTCGACTATGAAATATACTTGATTCAAGTATGAAAACTTGTAATCAAATGATCAAATAAGGGATTTTGACCCCCTTGGCCCTTGTAGCCTTGGTGTACCCTGTGACCCTTATGGCCCTTATGACCCTAAAGGTCCCAAGGGCCTGCCGGGGCACAAAGATCACATCCGTTACCCCTTCTTGTAACATCAAATAGATTTATAATCAAATAACAATAAACAATTCAGTAGCGAAGTGGTGAAGCGGTTTAAGTCGACTAATGTCTCCGTTGAGTTTTTGAGGAATATTTCCGAATCTAAGGGAGTAGCGAAATTTTAGTAATTACATTTGTTGTAGCTCTCAATCGACTCTACAAAAAATATCTTAACAAAAATTTTGCTATCTCCCTTAGATTCCGAAATATTCATTGAAAACTGGTCGACAGTCAAAATTGACTTGTACCGTTTTACCACTTAGCTACTGAATCAATATTGTTTAATATTAATTGTTTAATAAATTAAAATAACTTGATTCAAATATATTTTATATTCAATTGAGGGATGGGTATTTCACTTCGAAGATGATTTTTTTGTATCAGGCCGGGTTGTAGCAAGCCCTCTTAAGTGTAATAAAAGGGTCAGGCATTAGGTGTCAGAATATTAGGGTCAAAACCTTAGGGTCAGAATATAAAAGTAAAAAAAGTGGGTGTCAGGCAATGAGGGTCTAAATATAAGTCATATATTATGCTTGATCACCACTTTTAGCCCTTATATGACCCTCATTGCCTGACACCCACTTTTTTTACTTTTATATTCTGACCCTAATTTTTTGATCCTAATATTCTGACCCTCTTTTTTTAACCCTAACATTCTGACCCTCATTCCTTCACCTTTACATTCAGGCCCTCAGTTTTTGATTCTAATATTCCGATCCTCATTTTTTAACCTCCACCTTTTGACCCTTATATTCTCACACTTAGTGTCTGACCCTTATGTTACACTTGAGAGCGCTTGGTACAGCCCGGGCTGGTACGAAATAATCATCTTCAAATTGAAACACCCATTCCACATTCGAGTATAAAATATACGTGAAGCACAAATCGACGAATTTCCCCACATTAAATCCCCCTGTTAAAATACCTCCATATTTTCTACATTTGATAACTTTGAAATGATAATCAGGCATGAATATGCCAATTAGTAGTGTGAATAGTATTCCACGTCAGCTGCGCCAAGAAAAAGCTCATTCAAACCAATTCCCCTCCCAATATTACCAATTCGCTCTCTCTTCACACGACAATAACCCCAAGACTCCTAGTTTAAACGTAGACCGTGATGGAAGGGCCGTCCCCTGAGGCTGGATTATTGCAAAATGGATGAAATATCGCATCGATTTCCCACCTTGCCAACGATGCCTCGATAATCCCTCTCGTCTTTGTCGCGGGATGGAGAAGAAAAAAGAGGAGATTCTATGGGAGAAAAAGGACTATAAAAAAGTAGTCGCAGTCATCCTTGCAGGGCTGCAGAAAAGTCTTTATGAAGACTTTTCTTGTTTATTTTTTTATCCTCCACTTTGTTAGTTTTCTCGCTCCCTGACTCCTCAACTCATTCCTCCACAGTTGCGGGTCTGCTTGTCTTTTGCTTCGAAGTACCTTGACATGTTGCATTTTTCCAACAATGAGAATTGTTTGGCTTCATAACTTCAGCTACGTGAGTATTTATTTCAGGCAATGGTGGGGTTTTATTGTTTATACATGATGAGAGCGATTCGACCATCAGATTAGATTTAAACAATTTCAGTCATTTATTTACAAACAACGCATGTTGAAAAAAATCATAATTCTATGCAAAATGGAATTTGAATGGCACTGAATATTCGTGATTTTTTTCAAATTTTTCTCCCGTAATTTAGCTGACAAATTTGATGATTGAAAATGGTTGAATCTACACTGAAAGAAAAAACTACTTTTGGTAGAGAAAGTTTACTTAGCACTGGAAATCGAGATTGCTGTAGGATTACTTGACTTGTTTGGTAATTTTTCTCCGACTTTTTTCTTTGGGTAGTTTAGTTTTACGAATTTAATTACGTGGATATTTATTTCAACTAATGGTATCTTTCTATATTATGAAAATCCAAATCGACTTCTGGTGATAAAAATTTGGTACTCGAAATTAAGACTCGGCAATTGTGGGTCACAAGGGTCACGAGGGTCAAAATAATGGTCACGAGGGCTATATTACGGGTCCCGAGGTTCAGAATCAGGGTCATGAGGGTCAGAATAAGGATCACGAGAGAATAAGGGTCACGACGGTTGGAATAAGGGTCGCAAGGGTCAGATTAAGGGTTACAGGCGTCAGATTAAGGGTCACGAGGTTCAAAATCCGGGTCCCGAGGGTCAGATTAAGGGTCACGGGGGGTATAATGAGGGTCAAAATGAGGGGCACAAGGTTCGCAATAAGGATGATGGGGGTTGGGCTAGGCGAGCAGGAGGCGTAGCCCCCCTAGTATAGTACATAAGGGATTATTATTTATACGTGATGAAAATCGTCTAGTCGGATTACGCTGAAAACCTCCTTTTAGCTGGAAACTGAAATTAATAGGGAATGGGTCCGTGCTCTTATGAAAATTACACTCTCCACCAGTTTTAATAACAATTCTTACAGGCATTTCATATCTCATTCTATCCTGATAATGAACAAAGCTCACTTTATCTCACCGAAAAGCCTTCTGAGTATCTCCTCGTAGAGGCATTTACCGTAAGGTACCCTTTTAATTTTATTTATATTGCATTCGTCGGCTCAACCGGGCAACCCTCAAACTCCGAGGCCCAAGGTACGTTCTCCCTCGCTAATCTCGTCAGTCTAAAGCCTCGTTTTCCATTTCCTGTTGTAAGACCATTGGAATAATAGAGATCAAGGAGAAAGAACGGAGGGAAAATGAGATGCTTCCTTCGTGTGCCTTCAGTAAAGTCATGAATATTTCCTGAGGCTCAATAGAAACATGGAAACTCGAGGTTAAATTTTGTCTGGGGTTATGCAAGGGGAATTCAAACATCTGAAAGTTTGGAGGAACAACTTGAAAATTGCTGCTGGAAAATTTCTTATGCATTGTCTTCTGCTTCCCTTCAGGAGTTTTTTTCCTCACCACATTTAAGCCTCTGTGTTATTCCTTGAAGAACGGAGAAAAATGGAGATACGCGAGGGAAATTTTTATTCAAGTTCCTCAAT